TAATAATAATAATAATAATAATAATAATAATAATAATAATAATAATAATAATTCCTTGCATCAAGTTTGTCCAAGTGGATAATTGAGATGAGAAAATCAGAAGGCTGATTTTATAATCCTTGTATAAAAGTATTAAAGTGCCATGTTTTATACACAGTGGAGCCTCGGGTCGCGACTGTAATCTGTTCCCGGATTCCAGTCATGACCTGATTTGGTTGTGCCTGGAAGCATGACCGACTGTATATGTGTGCAGTAAAAAATTGGCAGCAAAGGGGAAATCAGCACAGAAAGGGAATCTTTCCATGCCGATTTTGTTCACCACCTGATTTTTGAATCGTGATCCGATGGAAAATTCGGGTGGAGTTTTTGTTCGCTACCCGATTTGGTCATGAACAGGAATGTTCGCGACCTGAAGTTTCATTGAATTCTTAATAAAGCAGGAATCTCCAACCTTGGCAACTTTAAGCGTGGCGGACTTCATCTCCCAGAATTTCCCAGTCAGCAAAGCTTAAAGTTGCCAAGGTTGGAGGCTCCTATAATAAAGCATACATTGTTTATTTAACAATGGACTGTTTAACATACAATCCTATTATTTTATGAATATTAATATTAGGCTTCAACTGGACTTTGAAATGTATGTTTCCCAGGTGTTGCCTTGGCTAACATACAAATCATATCAAATGATAAATAAGAAGAAACCAGGTTGCATACATAAATTACATACATAGGAAAATGATTATTTTATGATATTTTAGAAAATAATCTAAGCATTTTCAAAGGAATCACAAAAAATGTTCAATCTGAGCTGGATAAATTGTTTATGTAGTTAACCTAATAATAATTCACTAGATATTGCTCAAATTTAGACAATTCCAAAGATGGATTTAATCACACATACTCCTTGTGAAACTTGTAAACGTTTAATCTTCAAAAGATATTTAAGTCTTTCCCATTTTTTTTCTGAGATCCCTAAGAATACTAGCCAAAATAATTTTCTTTCATTTTAATATCAAAACATAGCACAAGGCAAATTCTAGTGACTTGAGAGCTACAAGGTCAGTTACTTAAATATTCTTTCAAATTTTCCTCTATTGAGGCCTATGAAATTCAGAATTAACCTACAAGCCCACCCACCAATCACGGTGGCTTAGTGTTAAACATGAAGATCAGCAGACATAATTCATTGTTTATCCAATCAATCTGTCTTAATTATCTTAGGGAACCCAGAATGTTAAAAATAAATCTGATGCCTGAGTATAAATAAATACAATTAACTCAGAATGCAAGAAGTACAGTAACAGTAGAGAGCCAGTGTGGATGAATGAATCACGCAATACTTTTGAGATCTGAGTTTTCAGACATCATGAAACATGGTGAATAAGTTCATATTAATCAAAAAATTAATCTCAGCCTAGTTGGGAGAGAGGAAATGTTTAAAAAGTGGTGTTTTTTTTTTTAAAAAAGGCACTCAAATAATATTTTAAACATCTAGCTTTCATTCTTTTAATAATTGTAAGGAGGATGTGTGCAAAACTGAAGATATAGAATTGAGAAGAATTCCAGGACTCTGTTGATTTGGCTGTTAGAAATTTGTCAGAGAGAAGACCTCGTAAATTCTCATCTTACCTTCACATCTTTAACATTCATCCTTGTTCCTTCTTTTCCAACGAAGATGTCATCAATGTCAACAAGAATGTATCTGTCCAAGGATAATGTAAGCCTTTTTCCTGTCAAGAAGGAGATGGCATCTATAAAAATAAGTTTGTGTAGCCAAAAGTTCAAGTTGTTTCCAAACAGGACTCTTTGAATTCCATCATGAAGTCCCAGGTCCTGAATCACTGTAGCATAAAGATTAAGCTTTGGAAGCGATGCTGGGAATAATTTGGAAGCTTGAAATTCTGTTAAAAGCACTGGTTGATAAGTAGAATGGTTATATTGGAAAACAGTCCAGTCATCACCAGGTAGTGGGCCTTTTTTAACCCTTGGGGCTTTGGTTATATGCAATAGAGGGGACCGGGGGTTTACTAAGCAATCCTGAAGAGCTATATTGTTGTAAAGATGTAATGGGAATCCTTTGAGCTGAGTACTTGACAAGCTATTCTCATTGGCTTTATGAAAACCAATTATGCTAACACTGTATTCCACACAGTATTTTTCCAGGAGTTCTCTGTTCCATGAATCCATGGATGTGTATTTCAAAATATTTTCATATACTATAAGGATGTATTTTCCTTTGCCATTATCAGCCAGGGGTGGGATATCTCCTTTCCCAGATGCAATCACCATATGATACTGAAACCGACTAGACTCCAGGATGGCAATGATGTCTTGACCAAGTTGAGAGTACTGACTTTCAACAAAAAGCAACACCGTAGCATCAGTCCTAGTAGGATCGATTGGCTTCACTGTTTTAAGTTCTAGAGTTCTATAGGGCAAAAGTTTAAGATCTTCACATTCCATCTCTCCTGTGGTATCAGTGAGGGCAATTTCTTGCTTGTGACCTGTATACAAGTAGTAAGCAGAAATGACTATGCTCACTAAGCAGAAGGTGGCTAAGAGAATTACAAGTGTTCGGAAACTCCTACGAAGTTTCATGATCAGATTCATCTTCGTTTTGTTTTGTTTTGTTGCAGGAGTATGTTTCTTCCGTTTCATCTCACCCCAAAATTCCAACAATTGGCTTCTTCCCTTTAAAGTGCCATCATAAATAGACCACGAGATGGTATTAATACCACTCTCCAAATATTCATGTGACCATTGCAATTCATGTATTGGGGAAAAGGTGAAGGCTATGAAATTCCAGATACTGAAAGTCTAAAGAGGTGGCAATTTATATTGAAAGTGGTGTTCTTTGACTGCACCAGTTGCCAATAATCAATGGAGGAGACACTTAGCATTATCTGCAACAAAGTGAGAAATGAGAGTAGGTTAAGAAAATCCATACAGCAATTAAAATGTGTTAATTAAATAAGCTAGTAACTTCTATTAAAAGAAAAATAAATCCCACCTATGAACATTTTTATTGATTCCAAGGGAGAAGATGACAAGGGGATAACCTCCTGGTAAAATTTATGTGTGAAGAACATGCTTATCATTTACAGTTGTTATCCAAAACACTCGTTATTTACTTCAGGCCTATATTTATCATGCTACATAAAAGCACAATTTATGATAATTCTTATATTTTATGAGACACGATAATAAGCTCCATCAGCTGACTTTTTATATAAATTTATATTTTCAGGTATCAGAATTTATGTTATTAAGACTCCTTCCACTCAGAGCAGGGGGCTCTGCCACCCATGGCACTATTGCTCAAGCTCTCAGTTTCAACGGGGCTCCCATCTTCCTGCCATACACATGTCCTTCCTCCTAAGTTGGCCCCTCTCACTGGCCAGCCATAGGGAGGGTAGACTCACCCAATGTATCCACCTGACTTTCACTCTGGGTGAAGGCCTCAAGCATCCACCAATAACACACAAGCTGTTCCCAGGCTCTCACCATAGGAGCAGCATCTCAGATGCTTCAGGGTCCTTAGTCCTCTAGTATATCCACCAAGGCTTGGCCAAGGCTTTGAGATGACTGACCCAGCTTCTGCTTTAGATCTTCCAAAAGAGCCCTTCATGATAGGATGAGTAGCACAACTTCTAGAAAAACCTAATGCAACTGCCCATGAAATCTTTTCTTAGATATAATTGAAGTATAGGAAGCAAAAAAAGGCTACAAACCATCTAAATTAGGGTGTCAAACTCAATTTAATTGAGGGCTGTATCAGGGTTGTGGTTGTCCTCGTGTGTGTGTGTGTGGCCAGAATGGGCATGGCCAACTCAATGTCATTCATGTTGCGGTCGCCTGTGGTGGTCAAAGCGCTTTGCCAGCGAATATGGCCTCCCGAGCTCAGTTTACAGTTGTGATGGCCTCCGGCAACCCTCTCCAACAAAAACTGAGCTCAAGAGGGTCATGTGGCCCTTCCAAGCTCCATTTTCACTGGCAGAAGGTTGCAGGAGCCTGTCACTGCTGGAAATGGAGCTCAGAAGCCCATTTTCACTGGCAGAGGCACCACGGGCTAGTCCCTCACTGTTTCTACGGTGGCCCCATAGGCCAGATCTAAGCACTCTGCAGTCCGGGTTTGACCCCCAGGCTTTGAATTTGACATTCCTGATCTAAATGAATTTCTGCAATTAAATATGAACATTCACATTTATATTTTTGGCCAGATCATAAATAAATCAATGCAAAACTGCCACACTCTACAAGGTTTCTGTGAAATAGTTTTAAAGCGAAATAGCATATTAAGGAATGAGAAGTGGAATAAAAAGTAACACAGTGATAAGCATGTAAGATTTATGTAATTTGTAGTCAAATAGAGATATATGAATATTAAATTTTTATTCTCTTTTTCTATATTTTGGTCAATATAAGGTAACAAACATACCTAATACTCCCGCCTCCTGTTTTCTCTACATAAATCATCGTGTGAGGTGGGTTGGGCTGAGAGAAGGTGACTGACTTTCATGTCTAAAGCAGGCCTAGTATCCAGCACTTTAACCATTATAAAATACTTTCATATAACACTCCTATATGATTTATGCTCAGTGTTGTGGGAATAAACTTCTCCATGGTATTCTCTTTAATTTTGATGATTAACCTAAATCATGCTTGACTTACTATTATCAAATGTCAGAAACTTGGACTTGGTACCTGTGGTGTTGTGCTTTTATTAACTAATCCTGATTTGTAATAAACCACCATTCTCTAGTTTTCAGTTCTATAGTGTATGTATTGAGGTAATTTTAACAGTTTTACAACATAAAAATATAAATTTAAATTACTTCAGATGTATTGTCATTAAAACGGATAAATCTGATCATTTAATAAAAGATCCAAAAAGAACCAATTATTATATTATTGCATTATTTGTGTATGTTACTTTCATAATGTTTAACTAATCAACTCTGTAACTATAGACTTGTAAAGGGATATTTAGACTATGCATTTTAATCCTTACTTTATTTAGAAGTCTTTAATACAAATGTTTGAAGGGTTAGAGGGTTCAGGACTACTGATTACCTTCCATTTGACACATCATTTTGATGAACATGCTTTGAGTATCATTTCTGAGGCAACTTTGCACTATACATCCAATCCTATTCATATTTAAGATATACTTCCAACTTTGTGACGAAATAAAGAAAATTTAATTGGAAATAGATATTTCCACTGTTGGTAGTAAAATTTTAATTAGTCTACAATTGATAGCACAAGCCTGAATATTCCAAACTTCTTATAAGTTCTTTACAGAGCATTACTGTTTCCAGTGCTTTCTTTATACTGTTATAGACGAATCAAATAAGAAAAACACAAGGAGGCAGTTCAATGGTGACAATGATAAATAACTGCAACCTAACTCCTGAAGTTTATCAAATCACAAGCAAGACTTTGGGTTTACAATCACATTAGGGATATGTGCTGCCCAAATCAACCCATCAGTTGTCCTTGCAAGATCAGCAGCTGGAGCAACAACAAAAATTTATTTGCATATTGTTAGGAAACACATTCTGAATTTTTAAATTAAACAGATTTTTTTAAAAAAACAGATTTTTTTCAGCACTAGAGGGCAATATATTCCTGTTTCTTTCCAAATAATAATAGATATCAACTGTTTATGTACAAGTACTGGTTAAAAAACAAGTAGGTGTGTAATAATCCAGAGATCACAATAGTCTAAAGCAAAAGGTAAGATACCTCATTCTGGAGTTTACTGCTAAATGAATATAATTTTACTGCTCATAAATGATGGTGCAAACCCCCCCCCCCCCGTACTTACAGTATTTCTCACTGTTGGCCTGTAAAAAAAAGCAAAGACCATAATGTAAATTGGCTGTCATTTCCTGTCTTTCATGCAGTTTCATACTAAATTATGAAAGAAAGAGAAATAAATCTGGTTTGAAATTAAATGGTGGATGCTGTAGATAACCCCTATGTGAATTTGACAGATGGACATTTAATTATGTAATTTCACAATTATGAAAATGATTTCTAGGTGCATAAAGTATTTCAAAACAACCCAGAGTCTGAATTAACTATAAAACGAATGTGTTTCTCATTAAAATAAATGAAATTTTAAAGACTCGTTTTGGCTAACCTTACTTCATAAACTGGAGCTCATATATAAAGCTGAAAATAATGACAATAGGTTTGAAAACTTCATAACTTTTGAATTATGAAGACATACAGTAGGGGAACCTTACTTTTCTGAAGAAATTTCTCAATTTCTGAAGAAATTCTATTTGTTCCCTTCCCATGTATATACATCCAATAAAAAAATTGTTACTTTCACAAGCTGATACATCAAGTTTCCTCAAAATGCATTCCTTTCCCTCTTGTTTGCATGACACAAGTCTAACCAAGTATAAAATCTCATTTTAGCAGAAACTGTAAAGAAAGACAGGGAAAGTGACAAGCTTGGTCCCAGCCAAACATCAAAACTTCCCTGCAACTGAAAGTGAAACTGTCAATAAATTAACGACGTCCTTCAGTGTTTCACCTCTATAGCCAAGAAACTTCTCCCTATCCATTTTTTCCACTTTCACCACTAGTTAATAACTTTGTTAAAATGGGGGAAAATATGGTGAAAAAGATAAGTTCCATGTGGACAAAAGAGTGGAACAAGGCTGTATATTCTCCTCTTATTAATTCAAATTTTATGCTGAGTATATATTAAGGAAAGTTTGATTGGAAAAAGATGAGCAATCATGCCTTTAAAACTGAAAGAAGAAACATCAATAATTTGCACTATGGTGATGACACTTGCCAAAAAAAATGCAAAAGATCTGCAAGATCCCATAATAAAAGTCAAGGAGAACAGTGAAAAAAATGGGACAGATATTAAATATAAAGAAAAGCACATTAATGACAATAGAAAGAATAGCAAGACTTAGAACTGACAGTGCAGATATCAAATTGGTGGAAAGCGTCTCTAGCTATTGTGCATCAATCATCAACAGTAAAGGAACAAGCAGTCAAAAAATATACCACAGACTACCACTTTGTAGAACGATCATTAAGACCTTGGATACTGAATTGAATTGTCATGATGTGTCTATAATTTCAATGATGAGAATTGTGTAAGTCATAGTATGTGGTACTGGATAGAAGTGAAAGCTGGAGTTGAAGAAGCAGGATAGAAAGAGTATTCAAGTTTTGAACTTTGGTGATCAAGAAGATTCCTGAGAATGTCACAGACAGTCAAATAATCAAACTGATGGATCACCAAGCCAATTAACCCAGAGTTCTCACTTGAAGGACAAAGGACAAATTTACATTATCCTACTTTGAAGACAATATGCAAAGTCACAGCTTTCTGGAGAAGTGTCTAATGCTGAAAAAGAGTTTTAAAAAAGAGAAGAAAAGATTGATCGAACAAGCAGAAGCAGCAAGGTGAGTGGATATCATTACAGTGACCATGGGTGGGCCATTAGAAGACCTGAGAGCCCAGGTTACAAACATTGTCATGGGCAAAATCTATCTGTAAGCTAAGTAGGAGTCAAAAAGAACTTAATCAATTAACCTGGGAAAAGTTAAAACTGCTAAGAGGCACAATGAAA